TTTAATTTAATTTAATTTAAAAAAGAAGAAGAAAACCTAGTATTGAGGAATGGCAGCAAAACGGGACATGGTCCTCGGCCAGAAAGTCAAGCTATACCCCAGTTGCAGGTAACCCAACCAAATCTCCACCCTCCTGAGGAGAGACCGCCCTACTGAAAGGGGACTCACATCGTAGGTGACTTCCTCCACCTGGTCCTTCTCCATAAGAAACACTTTGGAGACTTGCTCACACGGTCCCTGGAGGATTCGGGCAACCAGAGGGTAATCGGTGTTCTTTAGCTTCTGTTTCTCTGGAACAACACCCAACAAGGAACAGCCCTGAGTTTGGCCCTGAGGCCTTTCTCACCATAAGTAGTGGCCAACTCGGGGGCCCAAATGGCCCGGGCACCTTAGAAGATGCAGCCAGGTAAGTCAGGAGACTGAATTGTGAATGAACAATTCTGGTTCAAAGCAACCATTCCCTCCCCGCTCTCCCTGACAAAACGACCATGCTTCAAACCCTTTGGAAGATGCTGTGTTGGAGGAATTGGTTTTATCTACCTCTCAAGGAAATCCGGTTGCCTTTTAAATAAGCAGTTAGGTTCTAGACTACATATGGCATTTCCCAGTGGACTCAGCCAGTGACCCCACCAGCCTCGGAGGCGAACATTTGAAAGTTTCCAAAGGCCAAACAACAAGCAAATGAGGCAGAGGTCTTGTTTTTACACTTGCTGTTTTGAGTGAAGTAAACATTTTCAAGTACACTGTGTTTTTCAGACTTACCACCGCTGGTATGGACCACATACAAAGCAAACTCCTCTGCGGAATTCTCGATCTGAATCAGAAACAAGAGATGCTTGAAGAAAGCACATATTTACATATCCCAACTCTGAGCCATTCCTTCTTGAACGCTGCAAAGCTAAATGGATGTTCGGCGCTTCTGAGGGGGAGCTATTTCTCTCTAGCTCTCAGAGGGGATGAGGAGAGGGGGCAGGCAGGTAACTTTATCAGTAACAGTCCATAAGAAGGACTAACATTTCTTGCACCCTGACAAGCACCGTGCCACATGCTCTGCACACGTTAACTTATCTCATACTCCTGTCAGCCCCTTAAGGGGGGGTCCTGTGAACCCTCATTTTACAGAAGACAAAGCAGAAGCACAGGGAGCTTAAGTCACTAGCTCGGCTCCTCCAATCAGCGGGTGATGGCTGGGGATTTGAACGCAGAGGCCACCAGCTGACACTGGCCCCAGTGAAAAATAGGGATCCATGTCTCCAAAAGATTTCTTATAAAGGGATTGTGGGAGACCTACAGAGTAACAGAACTTTAAGGATTCATGCCCTAGAACTTGCACGTGTATTGAAGCTCATTTTTCAGAGTAGGTTCCCCAAATGTGTTTCAGAAGTCAGTCTGTGCCTGGGGTCTGAGGTCTGTGCCTGGGGCCTGGGGTTTGGGGGCCGGAGCTCCTCAGAATTCAGCAGCACCAGAATCGCCTGCCAGTTGCTGAGCAGGTTCCCTGGCCTTCGGGCTTCAGATTCAGCAGGTCTGATTCAGGGCTGGGGCCTGGGAAGCTGCTTTGCGAACAAGCTCCCATGGGATGCTGATGCCATGGGGTTGGAAGACCCCGAGCCCGGCGGCCCAGCGCGCCTCCCCTCCCCCCGCTTACTGCACACCCTCCATGGTCCCCCTTCCCACTCCGGGGCCAGTCCGCGTGGGAACTTGCCTTGAATTTGTTGAGCAGCAGCTTCAGGACCTGTGGGGTGGTCATGGTGCTGTTGATGCGGACGTTAGTGACCGAGCCATAGGCCGGCGTGAACACCGATGTCTGTCAATAGAGGGGCCCGGCTCACGGTGGCCGTGGGGACAAGAACTGGGCCTTAAAACCCAGGTGTCCCCCAGCCCCGTGACCTGGGGTAAAGAGCACAGTGACAAGGGCACTCACCCCGTGCACCCTGAGCCCCCCCCCCCCCCCCCCGCAGCAGCCTGGCAGACGATGGCTTTGAGGTCAACACAAGCAGCCCTGGGCTGTGCCTAACTCGGGAGCTCGTCTCCCACCCACCGTCCCCACGGGAGGCTGGAGGGGTCTGAGCTGGGCAAGTGGCAGGGTGGGGGAGGGGGAGGGGCCCAGATAAGGAAGGCCCTCTCTCCAGAGAAAACGTGCAGAAGGCCCCTTCCACTGTGACTTCAACACAAGGTCTCTGACCCCTCTCCCATGATGCACTTGCTTCTGGGGCTGGATTCGGACCAGGCAGCGGGAGGCAAGGAGGGTCAGCTAATGGGGAGGGGCAGGTAGGGCACGGATGCCCCCTGATTTGCATCCCGCAGCCCTGCTTCAGGGGGCAGCACTCAGCTCACAGGAAAGTGAGACCACGCAGCAGCCGGTGTAGGAAGAGGGTGTCGTGTTGACTTCCCAGGGAGGGGGGCCGGCTCTGGTGTTCGTGGTGTCATCTCACCCACCCCCCCTAGGCGGGGCTCCTGATCCAGGGTCCCTCATCCCTCCCAGAGCCGGCAGAGCCTGCAGCCCACCCAGGACCCAAAGACAGAACGGCAAACACTTGGCTTCCCACTTGTCTGTAGCCTTGAGGCAGCCGCTGCCCAAGAAGAGGACTTATTCACTCGGGACTAACCCCTGCCCCCTACCCCCCATCCTCTCTACCTTGTGGTTGTAGAAATGGCCATTGATGGAGAAGCGGTGGCGTCTGATTCGCCTCTGGTCACTGGGCGTCCTCACGTTGCCACGGCGACGCACCCCAACATCACTGCGTGTGCGCATCAGCTGTGGGGTGTCTTCCTGCAGGGGCTTGAGGCCCCTGGAGTCTAAGAGGGAAGGGGAAGATGAGCTCTGTCGGCCCGGCCCGGGGATGTGGCAGTTTGCACACAGTACCCTCTTTGTGGCCAAGGCTACGGTACCCACTGCCGCCTCCCCCGAAATACGTTTCATCCAAACAGTATTTCCTGCCGGGGGAAAAACACATGGCATAATTTACTGAGAAGCAATACAGTGACAAGATTCCAGAGCAGAGACTTGAGAGCCAGATTCCCAGGGCCAAATCCCAGCCCCACCATTGCTATGTTTCATTAACCCCTCCATGCCTCAGTTCCCTCATCTATAAAATGGGCATAATAATAGCACCCACATCACAGGACTGTTGTGAGGGTTTACTGAATTAATTCACGCAAAGCATTTAGAAGAGTGCTTGGCACAGCAGAAGCGTGACATAAGGACTTGCAAGATATTGCCATCTGACAGTATCTATCAAAATTACAAACGCACATAGCCTCAGACCCAGAAATTCCACTTAAAAAAATCCTACAGACACTGACAAATGTGTGAAATGGCACGTGTCCAGGGCCACTAACTGCTGTTTGTCACAGCAAAAGACTGGAATGACTTCAATGTCCATCAGTGAGGAGTGATTCAGCTATCATTTCTCCACCCAATGGAATACAGCAAAGCCAGATAAGAATGCCGAAGTTCTTTATGGATTTGTGTGGGACAGTCCTCAAAACAAACTAATAGAAACAGGGATATACAAAATTTACCACTTATGTAAAAAGGGGAAGAAAAGAAATGACCTCCAACCATAAAGGTATGTTGCTGTGTATTTGCTTGTATCTGTCTAGAAGACCTCAGAAAGAATGCCTTCGAGTATTTTCTAGGGAGGGAACCCCTATGGTGGGTAGACGAAATGGGGAACTTCTGATAGTCTCCTTTGAATACTCCTCGAATCTTGAACCACATGAATTTCATTTATTCAATTTACAGCATCTAGATCACATCAGTCTTCACATAGGTGAGTCCAAAGCGGGACACTTCCCACCACACATGTGTGTACCTGTGGGGCTCGGTGTCTGCTCATTCTCGGGCGGGGCGTCCACTTCTGAGATCTGAATGTTGGGCATGGTGAGGGGCTTCAGGATGGTGCTGGGGAGATAGAACACAAAAGGGAGACTGGTTCAGCCTCTGCAGGGGGACCCTCCCTCTCCTGCAATAGGAGCACCTGGCCTGTGCTAGGCTGGGGACAAGCACACCCCCGTGGAGGCGGCCCGTGCGGAGTGTCCCGTGAGGCTGGCCCCGCTCCAGGGCTGAGCACAGGGTGGGGAGGGGGTATTCTGGAGGAGAAGATGCTCTTTCCCAGCATCTGCAGGAACACAAGCACCCACTTCATCAAGCCCGGGATGGAGAACACCAAAGGACAAAATCTGGGCGTTGTGTGCACTGAGTTTCTGAGCATGTACAGGTTCAAATAGCTCTCATAATGGACATTTGTTTCTCCAGACAAGATTCCAGTTCAGATCCTTTCCTGTTGGAGGAGTAACTCAGAAATTGCTTCTGGCACCTAAAGGAATGGAAGTCATAGGTCAGAGCAGCGTTGGAAGGACCACTGATGACAGTGTTCTTGGGGTTGCTGGACAGGACGCTCAGCCAAGCTGGACCCCACGCAGCCAGTCTGAGCAGAGTCCCGAATAACTGGCCAAAGACTCCCTTATAAGCCCAAAAGGATAATGACAGCAGCTCAGAGATGCACACCCAAAATCAACAGGAGATTTGACCAGAAAGAAAAATCATATTTAACCAGTTAGGACCATCCCATAGTGAGAAGAGCGTGGGCTCCCTGGGACCCAGTAGAGATGGGACTTACAGTCCAGGGATGGCAGTTTTAAGGGAAGACAATAAAAGCTGAAAATCTGAAAGAACGTCCCACTGTGGTCTAACTCTGGACTTCCGACCAGCCTCTAACTGGTCAGAGCTGCTCAGGAGTGGTGAGTGCCTGGCGCTCCCAGCGACCACAGCCCACTCCCTCACCGAAGCAGAAACTGGTCTCAGCCAACTTCTTACCCCAGTGGCCCAGGTATTCACTTTATTCTAGCCAGCACTGGGGATAACCTTAGTTACCGTTCCTGACAACCCTCTCAAGAGCCCTGGCAGGTTTCAAGAACCAACCAAGACCAGCTTGATGTTGGGAATGGAGGTGAAACGAGCGAGCCGAGTGAAGGACCCTTTAGCAGGCTCAGCCAAAAATCACGCCGTCGGATGGCATTCTAAAAATTCTCTCACGTAGGGGACGGAATGGAGCAGAATCAGGCGTCGTCGGGACGTGGCTGTGGAAAGGGTTTGGCCCCACAGGAAATCCAAGATGTCCAAAGGGCTGAAATAGAGCATGAAACCAGCCAAGGAGATGAAGCCAGAGAACCTTGACCAGACATCCCAGCGTCTGATGGGATGGGCAAGGACTTCCCTCCTACAATTCCCTGGGAAAGAAAGCAGATCAGCGTTTGGCCACAATGTAGGTGTCTCTCAACTTTAGAGAGAGATGGATTTGGCTGCGGAGTTTTAACAGAACGTCCAGCGTGTCCAACGGAGAGGGCTTGGTTCTGGCTGAAAACAGAAAACACATCACTGTGGTTTCGGCTGAGATGTCAGCACACGCTACCCACACTCTGGCCTTGCAGCACCCACAAGTTTTGAGACGGAACACAGCTGGTCAGTCACTTGATACCAAGAACCAGAGTCCCGGAAGGAAGTCCCAGCAGAGGGCGGGCATGTCTACAAGCACTTGGCTACTCAGCTGGTAGCAGAGGGAGGCGGACAAATAGGCATGGGCTTCGCAGACCTTCCAGTGGGACCCCGGAGGAAGGAGCCTCCCAGACTGCTGACTGTCACACGGTCACCCAGCTCCGGGTGTGGCCTGAAGGAAGCAGCCCCCTAGCTGACCTCGTGGGAGTGGCTTGGACACAGCCTGATGTTCCTTTCCTTCTTCCAGGTTCCCCCAGGTCATGGAGAGCTTTGGAGAGAAGGTTTGAGCCCTTGGTGTCTCCAGAGCAGGGTCATTCTATGAGGAGTGGTCCCCATGGGGAAGTGCTGGGGCACCAGGCGTCGCATCAGAAATCTGCAGGCTAGGCCCAGCTGGTCACAAGCGATACCCCTCAGAGACTCAGGAATTCTCCATGAGGGAGGACACACGGCAACCAGACTTTGGCGTTTCTCCCCTGACTCTCACCCAGTGATGTGGTGACAGGCACGGTGACCCCATCACACCAACATCTGCTCCTTCCTCCTCCCCCTGAGCCCAGAACAGGGGCACAGTGCAGGTGGGGAGAATGGGAGCTGGAGTCAAGGCTTGCTGGAAGAAGGTGGCATTGATCTGCTCAAGAGCGCTTAAGAACAGAACCCCCAGACACTCCCGGGCACCACATCCCCATCTCTCCTCACTCACCCCTGAGCCCCCAAGTTACAGCCAGAGTGCCAGGAAGAAGAGGATGGTGGAGGGCGAATGCGCTCGTTGTCATCCTGCATCTGCAGACGGATGGGCCGGCGCAGCCCCCAGGAGATGTTCAGCAGCCCCTCCACGATGAACTCATCTTCCTCCTGCCCACAAAGCAATTGGCACGGTGAGCCAGACCAGAAAACCCCGCAGAGGCCAGCAACACCCCGGGGGACGACGGACAGCGCCCTCGATGGGCCCTGGCTGGGCGCACCCAAGTTACACCTGCACCCCAGCCTCAAGACACACCCCACCACAAGCTACGCCCTGAAGACGACCTCACAGGTCAACCCAAAAGTTGCCTCAAAACTCAAATACCTGTGTGTAAATGATAAAAATGGGGTGTTTTTTTTTGTTTTTATACTTTAAAGAAAGAAGAAGACATCTCTTAGAGTAACTGAGACGAGCCTTACTAACAGAAGCCAGAGCTAGATTCTTGAATTAGCTACTTTCCCCTCCCCTACCACAGAAAGTCTTTAGCTATAACATATGTTTAGCAACCAGACCTGCTGGTTGAAGGAGATTTAAAGTAACATTTCCCCAAGTTTATTCTACCGAATACTCGCGCCTCTCGCAGGTCAACCGGTTACCTCAAAAAGGGTGTCGGTGATCATGAGTTGGGAGATGATATGTCAATCAGACTTCTTACCAGCAGAACTTCCCAGAGCTTTTAATTAGCTAATGTGCTACACTGTGGCTCTCCAAGAGGTGAATTAATCCTCCGATAATTCCAAATTTATACTCAAGGGTTGTTGACTGCTAACAAGTTAAACATCAGACCCTTCTAAGGGCTTCGGCGTGTTTTGTCTCAAAGAACTGAGTCTCATTTATTATGAGTCTCTATTTAATCATAGAGCACTCTGAGAATTTATTCTCTAAGACGCACCGCAAAAAAGCTGTCCAAGGACCAAAATCTTGCGAATGGCCCAGCCACTCACTAGAAGCTTTAAGGACAATGCCTAAAAGGGTCAGGCCTCCTTTCTCAAGTCTCAGAAAACCCCACAGCTGTCAGACCTGGGCCACGGCCATGTCTTCAGGATGAGCCACATGGATGAAGAGGACACCCGTCCAATGAACAACTGACCCGGATCCCAGGATCATCGCCAGAGAGGAGGAGAGAACAGAAGAAGCAGGAGAGGAGTAGAACAGCTTTCAGGCAGGTGGGGGTCTTGGGGGGAAAAGCTTTATGTAAGAATAGGCTGTACAGAGGGCCTTCTAGCTACCGTTATATTGCATGATTTTAGGACAGGATTTAACCCAAAGTAGGACTTTGCCTACATGGACTGGTTTGAGGGACACAGAAAAAGCCACTGCATCTCACATACTCTCCCCAACCAGCCTGCCTTTGTAGCTGAAATTCTACCATCTGATATCTGTTTCTATGGATTGAATTGCCATGGCTTGATAACCTGAAAATGTGTTTAGAAGGGTATTACACATATCTTATCAGTCTAGAACACTTGAGTATAAATTACTCTACCTGGCTCCTACAAAACTCACCATCTACCTGATAACAGGCTTTACGGAAATGGATACGGGATGAGTAAGCTAAGATTCGGGCTGGGGGAAGCCGGGTGGAGAGCAAAGCGCGTCCCAAGAAGGCACCGTAGGAAGACCACTGCAGTTGTGGGGAAGGGCCAAGCATTTCCAGGCAGAGCTGATGCGGCTTGCCCAGTTGCTGCAGCAATCAGATGTGGGCCCAGATGTGTAAACACAGAAGACTGAGGAAGTTTCCTGAATTGCCCGAGAAGCAGCAGCCTGCTTGAGCACCATGGGAAAGGGTCAGTTCATGAACGTCCCCCTTTAGAGGACCCCCTCCGAAACAGATGCTAGCCCAGCCTCACATCCATCCCCAGGAATGTCTCTGGAACAGAAAAGCTCATCCTCTTTAGAACAAAATGAGCCTGGGTTCCCCTTCTAAAGAACTCCAGAGACTCCCGCTAACATCCTAAATGAGAGGCCACTCCCAGGGGGCAGGAGAGGCAGGGACCTTGAGACCCTGGAGACATGGAGGCAGACTGGGCCGGCCCACGGCCCTTCCCCAGGGACTCCTTACCTCTCGGTGTCGGAGCTGCAAATTCTGGCCTTCGTAGTACAAATTGTAGGTCTTCAGATGCAGGAGAAGTTCATTCCTTAGGGCAAAATACAAAAGGTGTGACATTCTCAGCTGAAGCCACTTGTAATGCACCTGTTCCCTCTTTTCTCACCTCTAATCTGGCCTTCAGCCACCTAAGTCTGCGTGTCTGTCCACTGTCTTTTCTCCCTCACCTCTGCTATGAGTTAGAACAGGACAATCGCTACAGGCTTTCATGAGACTCAGAAACTTCTAGGCTTTTCAGAAAGTCAAAAGGGACAGGTCTGGACCCACTGACTTATAAGTGATAGACATGACCTTATGGTGTGTTTAAAAACTTACAAACTCCCATCAACAGTGGAGAGGATGAATAAAGGGAGCTGTGGTCATACAGTGGAATATTACGTAGCAACAAGAACATGAATGAGCCACATACAACATGGATGAATCTCACAGACATTGTGTTGAGTAGAAGAAGCCTGACACCAAAGGCCACGTATTGTATGATTCCATTTATATAAAGTTCAAAATGGATGTTGGAATTCACGATAGCATTCACCTTGGGGAGCAGTGACCACAAGGGGGCAGGAGGGGATTCTGGGCCCTAGCAATATTCTTTTCTACAAGCTTTTATCTCTTTTTATTCTATTTTAAGTGCTTTCAGTTTATTTAAAACAAATTTGGGGGGCGCCTGGCTGGCTCAGTGGGAGGGGCGTGTGACTCTTGATCTCAAGGGTCATGAGTTCAAGCCCCATGTTGGGTGTAGAGATTACTTAAATAAATAAACTTTAAAAAATGTTTTTAACTTGCAAATCTCCCTCTGAAACCCTATATCAGGCCTCCTTAGCTGTTAATACCTGGTTTCCAGGTGGTCCCCTGGAAACACAGCTCTATTGAACAAGAGGGAGCGAGGACTTCCCACCTTTGTGATCTGGATGAGCCCTGAGCCAACCTGAGAACAATCTACCCAGGTTTTATCTGAAAGTGCCCACTAGTGCCTGAGGCCGGGAAAGGAGGGGCTTGAAGACATTGCCGTGTACTTCTGCCTGTACTCAGGCAAGAGGCTGTGGAGTTTGGTCTCTCTGAATTCAGCCATTCAATGGAGCGACTTGGGGGCCACACCAGAGGTCAAAGCTGGCTTGAAAGTCGAAGAAGCTCTTGACAAGTTAAACCTAGAAAAATCGGAGTCATTCTATGCAAGCCTAAATGAATTAGTGAAAAATGTGACTCCAAATAACCTAACACAAAAAGCTGCTGGGTACTTTCTTTTGAGCACAGAGATCTAAAATTACTGGCCAGTCGAGGTCCCTGGAGAAATCCCTCAATGAATCGATAAGAATGATCCATAGTTCACACAACTGTGTTTCTGTATGTGGCCAAATATGTGTAAAGGAATGAAAACAATCTGGTCTCGGATAAGTTAAGCATTTAGTTCAGATAGAGAGCATTCAGTATGAACAAATCCCTGTGCTGGATATAAAAAGATATCCTCAAACTTATCATTTGAAAAGTTCATTTTGGCTCACATTAGCAAAAAATCCGAGCTCAAGAGATTTTAGTGCAGGGCGCCTGGGTGGCTCAGTTGGTTGAGCGACTGCCTTCGGCTCAGGTCATGGTCCTGGAGTCCCTGGATCGAGTTCCGCATTGGGCTCCCTGCTCGGCGGGGAGTCGGCTTCTCCCTCTGACCCTCCTTCCTCTCATGCTCTCTCTCTCTCTCTCTCTCTCTCTCTCTCTCATTCTCTCTCTCAAATAAATAAATAAATAAAATCTTTAAAAAAAAGAGAGAGAGATTTTAGTGCATATAAAGCAATGAATCTGTCTCTTTCTGTTCAGGGGGCACCTGTGCCTATTCTGGTCAGAACCCCGGCAGCACAGGGACACCACCCAGCGGGGACTCCCTCAGGGGACACCACAGACAGCTCAGGGGGCAGCCACCATTAATTCCTCCTTCCAGGACACCATCTCTCTTGAACCCCCAAAGGTGCTGTGTCTTGAAGGTCCCCTTTACTTTGCTGTCCGTGGCCAGGCTCTGGGGCCATGTTTTTATCTAGAGCACCAAACTTGCTGTGCTCTCACTCAGCTGCTTCCCTTCTTCCCACACACAGGACTCCCTGCCACCCATGAACGGAAGGGGTTTCCATCCACGTGGGACTGGCCACTGGGGACACAACACTAAAAGCCAAAAATCTTACTTGGAGATGTATTTATCTTGTCCACACGGGACTAGAGAGGTTTGGTGACTGTAGTCCATTCTTCTGTTCTATTTTCATCAGAAGGGGAGACCTATATTTGAAAAAAGACACAGGCCAAGTCAAGTTGGGTCCTTAGGAACTCAGCAGAATTTGGGCCAGGGGAGGGGGCACATGGCTCTCTGTTCCCACCCCAGATCCACAGCATGGGCCGCCCAACGCTGACCCAGGGCTAGTGAGATACCACACTGCTGACTGCTGCCTGTGCTTGTCACAGCCTCTGGGGAAAAAAACACCCAAAGGAGAGAGGACAACCCTTAGACGAACCCAGAACAAATGCTCCAGTCACAAGAATGTTGACACCCAAGGTGGTCCCAAGGGCGACCAACGTGTCTTCCCTGAAGAGATCTTCACAACACAGAATAGAGATGGGTCTGACAGGGAAGACTCAGGTTCCACTGAGGCACATTATAGATGGGCCAGCCACCTAAAAATGCCCAGAGCTGGGTGCAGTAAACCACAGCATACACATCTACAATCGCCATTAAAATATGGTAATGTTAAAGGCAATTAATTACCTGGGGAAATGACAACACGTTGTGAAAACACAGGTTACAAAACCATAAGTTCAATTTTGTTTAAAATATAAGTAAGCATCAAATATGCATATGTAAACATTTATATAAATGGATATATATATATTCAGATATTCAGATATATATGTCAGGGTTTCTCAGCCTCAGCACTATTGACATTTGGCTAAATCATTCTTTGTTGTGGGAACTGTCCTCTGCATTGGAGGATATTTAACAGCATCCCTGGCCTCTACCCACTGGATGCCGGCAGCACCAGCCAGTCATGACAATCAAAAATGTCTCTGGACATTACCTAGTGTCCCCTGGGAGCTAAACTGTCCCCAGTTAAGAATCCCTGGCATATGTATATCTGTATATAAATGAATGAAGGATTGGCTCTCTCTGGGGAATGGCATTACCCCAAATTTTTTTCAAACATTTTATTATGAGAATTTTCAAACATAAAGATGAGGAATAAGACAATGAACAGCCAGGGATGCATAGTTATTCTACCCCTAACATTTACTGGGGTACCTGGGTGGCTCAGTCAGTTAAGCGTCTGCCTTCAGCTCAGATCATGATCCCAGGGTCCTGGGATGGAACCCCGTGTAGGTCTCCCTGCTCAGCGGGGAGCCTGCTTCTCCCTCTCCCTCTGTCCCTCCCTACCACTGGTGTTCTCTCTCCCACGCTCTTCTTTCTCCCACACTCTTCTCTCTCTCTCAAATAAATAAATCTTTAAAAAAAACATTAACTATCTTTCTTTATCACACATCCGTCCAGCTATACATTCCTTTATCTATTCAATAATCCATCTTATTTTTGATGCATTTCAAAGTAAATTACACACAAAACAAGTTTCATAATTTAAGAAGATTGAAATCATACCAAGTGTCTTCTCCAACCACAATGGTATGAAACTAGAAATCAACAGCAGGAGGAAAACTGGAAAAATCCACGACTATGTGGAAATTGAACAACACACTCCTGAACAACCCATGGGTCAAAGAGGAACTCAAAATGGAAGTGAAAAATATCTGGAAACAAACAAAAACGGAAATACAACATACCAAAAGTTATGGGATACAACAAAAGCAGTTCTAAGAGGGAACTTTATAGCAATGAACACCTACATTAAGAAAAAAGAAAGATCCCAAATAAACAACCTCGAGGAACTAGAAAAAGAATAAACTAAGCCCAAAATTAGAAGAAGGAAGGAAATAACAAAGATCAGAGCAGAAATAAACGAGAGACCAGAAAACAATAGAAAAGATAAATGAAACTAAGCTGGTTCTTAGAAAAGATAAACAAAATTGACAAACCTTTAGCTAGACTAAGAGAAAAAACTCAAATAAACAAAATTAGACATGAAAAGGAGACATTACAACTGACACCAGAGAAATACAAATGATCTTAAGAGGCTACTGTGAACAATTATATGCCAATAAATTGGATAACCTAGAAGAAATGGATAAATTCCTAGAAACATAACCTACCAAGACTGAATCATGAAGAAAAAGAAAATCTGAATAGACCAATAATGAGTAAGATTGAATTAGTAATCAAAAACTTCTCAGGTTTTGAAAAGAAAAGCAAAGCCCAGGACCAGATGGTTTCACTGGTGAATTCTACCAAATATTTAAAGAAGAATCAATACCCAATCCTTCTCAAACTCTTCCAAAGAACCGAAGAAGAGGGAACACTCCCAAACTCATTTTATGAGGCCAGTGTTACCCTGATACTCTTATAGCCAGGTAAACATACTACCAAACAAGAAAACTACAGGCTGATATGCCTGATGAGTGTAAATGTAAAAATTCTCAAGAAAATACTAGCAAACCAAATTCAACAGTACATGAAAAAGATCATACAACATGATCAAGTTGGATTTATCCCTGGGATACAAGGATGGTTCCACACATGCAAATCACATATGATCACCTCGACAGATGCAGAAAAAGCATTTGACAAAATTCAACATCCTTTCATGACAAAAACTCCAACCAATTAGGTATAGAAGGAATATACCCCAACATAATAGAAGCCAGATACGACAAGCCCACAGCTAGCATCATACTCAACGGTGAAAAACTGAAAGTTTTTCTTCTGTGACCAGGAGCAAGACAAGGGTGCCCACTCTCACCACTCCTATTCAACACAGTACTGAAAATCCTTGCCAGAGCAATCAGGCAATAAAAATAAATAAAAGACATTCAAATAAAAAAGGAAGAAGTAAAATTGTCTCTGTTTGCAATAATATGAGCTTATATATAGAATATCCTAAGGACTCCGTGGGGCACCTGGGTGGCTCAGTCAGTTAAGCGTCGACTATTGATTTGGCTCAGGTCATGATATCAGGGTCATGATATGGAGCCCCGCGTCAGGCTCCACACTCAGTGGGGAGTCTGCTTCCCTCCCTCTCCCTCTGTCTTTCCCCCAACTCATGCATGCTCTCTCTCTCTCTCTCTCTCAAATAAATAAATAAATCTTAAAAAAAAGTCCTAAGGACTCAACCAAAAAATGGTTAGACTTAATCAATGAGTTCAGTAAAGGTGCGGCATACAAAATCAGCATTCAAAAATCAGTTGTGTTTCTATACACTAACAGCAAACTATCTGAAAAAGAGATAATCCCATTTACAGTAGCATCAAAAAAATAAAATACTTAGGAATAAATTAACCAAGTGTGTGATAGATCTGTACACTGAAAGTTAAATGACACTGATGAAAGAAATAGAAAAAAACAAACAAACAAATGGAAAGATATCCCATGTTCACAGATCAGAAGAATATTGTTAAGATGTCCATACTACCCAAAGCCACCTCTTGCTCAACATAATCACTATGAGAATTCCAATGGCATTTTTCACAGAAACAGAAAAAATGATCCTGAAATTTATATGGAACAACAAAAGAACTCAAACAGCCAAAGCAATCCTGAGAAAGAACAAAGCTGGAGGCATCACACTTCATGATTTCAAAATGTATTACAAAAACTATAGCAACCAAAACAGCATGATGCTGGCACATAGACCAATGGGACAGAATTAAAAGCCCAGAAATAAACCCATGCACATAAAATTAATATTTGACAAGGGAGCCAAGAATATGCAATGAGGGAAGAACTGTCTCTACAATGAATGTTGGAAAAATTGGAAACTCAAATGCAAAAGAATGACATTGGACCCCTATCTTACACCAAGCACAAAAATTAATTTGAGGGGCACCTGGCTGGCTCAGCTGGTACAGCATGCAATTCGTGAGGTCATGAGTTCAAGCCCCATGTTGGGTGTGGAGACTACTTTAAAAAAATTAACTTGAAATGAATTAGACTTAAATATAAGACCTGAAACCATAAAACTCTAAGGAAGAAAACAGAAATAAAGTTCCTTGCCAAAGTTCCATGGCATTGGCCTTGGCAACAATTTTTTGACTATGACACCCAAATCATGAGCAACAAAAGTAGAAATAAATAAGTGGGACTACATAAAACTAAAAAGCTTCTGTGCAGCAAAGGAAACAATCAGCAAGCTGGCAAGGTCACCTACAGAATGGGAGAAAATATTTGCAAACCATGTATCTGGTAAAGGGTTAATGTCCAAATTATATAAGAACACAGAAAACTCAAGAGCAAAAGAAACCAAATAATCCAATTAATAAATGGGCAGGGGACCTGAATAGATATTTTCCCAAAGAAGACATACAAATGATCGACAGGCACATGAAAAGATGTTCAGTATCAGAATCATTAGGGAAACACAAGTCAAAACCACAATAAGATATCACCTCATTTTTGTTAGAATGGCTGGTATCAAAAAGACACGAGATAATAAGTGTCAGTGAGGATGTGGGAAGATTGGACCCCTTGTGCACTGTTGGTGGGAATGTAAAATGGTGCAGCCACTGTGAACAACCGTACAGCAGTTCCTCAAAGAGTTAAAAATAGAACAACCCGATGATCCAGCAATTCCACTTCTGAGTATATACCTAAAAGAACTGAAAGCAGGATCTTGAAGAGATACTTATACACCCAGGTCCATAGCAGCATTAATCACAACAGCCAAAAAGGTGGAAGCCACTCAAGCGTCCATCAACGGATGGATGGATGAACGATGCACGGTAGACACATACCATGGAATATTATGCAGCCTTAAAAAAGAAGGGGATTCTGACATGTGCGACAACATGGAAGAACTTTGAGGACATTCTGCCAAGTGAAATAAGCCAGCAACCAAAGGACAAATACTGTATGATTCCACTAATAGGAAGTCTCCAAAGTAGTCAACATCATAGAAACATAAGGTAGAAAGTTGGTTGCCAAGGCCGGGGAGGAGAGGGAATTAGTGTCTAACAAGCAGAGTTTTAGTTTGGCGACATGAAGCTTTGTGTGGATGGATGGTGGTGTTGCTAGGACAACGGTGTGAATGTCCATAATGCCACAGAACTGTGCACTTAAAAATGATAACGTTGATACGTTTTATGTGTATTTCACCATGATAGAAAAAAGAATGGAAGAGGGAGGC